TTATGACCCTTGAATGCTAGGTCAGCTCCAAGGAGTGTCTGTCTAAAACCTAGTGATGCACGGGTTAGTGGCCCTCAGGTTACCTAAGCTCTGTCATTCTCCTTCAAGATGGAGGGCACTAAAATGAGGGCATTAAGGTCTGCCCACGGTTTGCTGGGCCATCCAGCTGCTGGCTTCTGCAGCAGCCCTTGCAGTCCTCCTGGAGCTGCATCCTGTGGTCTCCCTCAGGCTGCAGTCACCTTGAGTCCCACAGAGCCCCTGCAGAGGGACCCCCCACCCCAAGGAGGGGCAGTCGTCCCTCAGGCCTGAACTGTTACTCAAGCCATGAGGATCACCTTGAGCTGCCTCAAAGGACAAGTGTGGGAGTAAAGATCTACCCGATCACAAGTCTGATCAGGCTCACCCTCCCTGCCAACTACGCAAACCCCCAGACCTCTCTAGGGCCCCCTTTGCAGCGGATAAAAACTCACTTGTTCTGTCAGTTCCTCAAAGACAGATCTTTGTCCTTTCCAGTGTGGCTGTACCGCCCAAGTCCCTTTCCAGACCTTTACACTGTTCATCTCTATACTGATGTTAGGGACAGGTGGCTAGGCCTGGTCTACTGGGAACCCTGGGGCCAGGGCTTTTGCCTTGAAACTCTGATGACACACATTCATCTTGGAAGTGGTGCTTCTTACACACTTATTTCTGAAGTGATTGCGTTTAAGGGTAAAAACATACATTTTCTTAGAACAATCACTGATTTCGATGAGGGATAAGTTGCTTCTTTCTACTGTATTTGTAAGGGCTGTTCATGTCCTAGACTTTGGATGCCCACCACCTCCACATCCCAAGCCACATCGTGCGATGGGGAGCTGGCCTTCCAAATGGGAGCCCCAGCTGAGAACAGTGATGAGATTAACATCTGTGTGTGTATCCTTGTCTTCGTGCAAAAACAATTTATGGACATTCCAAATCCTGTTAGTTGATATGTGTAGTTGAGAAACCTGGTTCCCCACACCCCCTTGTAATTTTGAATTCTTGAAATAGATTTAGACCACACAGGCAGCCCTCAACTGACAAATAGATTAAGGTCCAGAAGTGACTTCATCTCTTGGTCTGAGTTTTTCCAGTAAAGCATTGTCTTATGAGACATTTGTCCCTGGCTAGTCTATCAGTGTATCTGAAATACTGTACACTTACATTTTAAAAGTAGAATAAAACAGTGCTACAAATGAGTAAACCAGAAAAGAAAGGCATTGAGGTAAAAAATTAATTGTAAATGTGGGTGTGTTGAAAGTTGGTCTTTTGAAAAGATTTATTTGAAGAAAAGTTCATGGGTAGCTAAGACTCTTTGGAGCTTCTGAAGAGAGGACCAAGCATTCCAAGATTACTGACAAGGTCCCTTGTTCTTTCAGTGTATTTTTATTTTGAACAGTTAAGAGACCCAGTGAGTTTCACTTCAAAATATGCCTTTCGTTTTTCTCAATGCAGAACTACTCTCCCTACACTTCCGCTTTGCCCAGCATGGTTAGTGTTTGGGTTTTACTGGTATTTGTGGCATTAGGGTCCCACATGAAACAAAAACAGAAATAGAAATAGGATTTTTAAAGGTAACAAACAAGTATAGTAAAGACGAAAAGGCAATACAGCAGTCCTTCACTTATTGTCGGGGTTTTGTTCCAGACACCCCTGTGATAAGTGAAAATCAGTGAAGTAGAGCCATTATATTTATTTTAGTATTTATATATGTTTTAAGGCTTTATAATCCTTTGTACACTCTTATAAACCTTCCCCACACTTTTAAAAACACTTCTAATGTTCTAATCCATTTTCTAAACTCATAAACCTACATAATTATAACAACATATGTATACTGTATGATACTGCAAAATCCTATAATATAGAGAAAAATCATGATAAATAATTTAGCTTAATATTTTTAAAAAACCCCTGACACAGTGAGTCCATGAAAGTTGAACCATGAAACAGCAAGGGACTACTGTACTTAATTGGCTCTGGTGAGTCCTGAAAAAAACCTCATATAAGATGGGGATTAAATAGGTTTTGAGAGTGGAAAAGAGGGATGGTGGAGGTCCACTGCAACTCCTCCTAGGGGCATAAAGGAGCAAGAGGCAGTGACACATGCTTGGGTCTGGCCCTCATGTGTGTGACTGGTAGGAGGCACCATGGTTATAAGATCCACAAAGTCAAGGGGTCCAAAAATGGAAATCGGCTTCATCTAGAATTAAACCTATGTGAACCCAGTTGACTAATGGAAATATCTTTTCCAGATGTTTTCAAACATTCTCTGCCCGATCTGTTGACTTATTTTTTTAAAAAGCAAATTCCAACATTAGTTTTTCTGTTTCAGATTGTTTAACAAATACCAATTGGGCATTTCCCCCCATTCTTTTCCCTGAACCTTCTACTTGATACAAGGAATATTTTTCTTGATGGATCTTGAACATGAGAAAGAGAGAGAGAGTGTGTGTGTATGTGTCTTTGTACACATGTGTGCATATGCATATTTGTGTGTGGTACACGTGGGGGTGGCCTGGGAGGCATTGATTCTTTTATGTTCCTTGGTGATGTGCAAGAGATTGTTAGCTGTTAAGCCACATCAATGCCTTTTATAGAAGTAGAAACCCTAGTTTTAGTTGGACACAGGTCTGCATTTTGAATAAAGAGCAGTTATAGCTAGTGGTGGCAGATGCAGCTTTCACACATCCTTCTTCTTTTTCTCTAGCTAGAAATGCAGGTGAAGACAATATTGGCATTTCTGGTGGTGGTAGTTCTGAGACAGAAGGGTTTTTATATACCATCATGTGGTAGAGCTACCCTATTAGCCCTGGGCTGCCTAGCCTAGGCTGTTTCATGGTAGGAAAAGACATTTGGATGTTAAAACATTGTGAACTTGGGTCTTTGTTATTGTAGTATCTCAGTTTATGTCTAAACTAGCGTGTGGTGGAAGAGAGATTTAGCAAAAAAAAAAAAAAAAAAAAAAAGTTGAATTATGGATGGATATGTCCTCCAAGGAGGTTAGCAGAAGCATCAATACTGTCTCTGTTAATATTAAAAAAGTAAATGAGTCTTCATAGAACATTGAAAGTGTAAGATTTTCATGTAATGTATACCATAAACAGTATTCCCTAGAATAAATGATTGAAACTCCATACTAATACTCTTGTGCCTGATCTTCCACCAATTTGATGTTTGGTACCTTGTGTTTGCAGACTTAGGAAGGATTAATGAACATGTTTACTGACTGAAAGAATGTATCATAGAGCAAAGATTATGCTTTAGTTGGGGAGAGGAGGCAATATATCTGTACTCTGCAAGATCACAGATAGGCTTCAAAGCAAGAAGTCTGAACTCTAGGCCACAGGAATGGTTAATCCAAGGGATAGAAGGTACATTTCTACCTCTCATTGTCTGTGGCAACTACCATGTGTCATCTGTAGGTGGAAGATACAATGGAAACAGAGGTTATCAGAGTTTCTCCAGGTCTCTGTGCTTCTATAGCAATTCTTATTTCTGCTGAGCACATTATAAAGTGAAATTCTTCAACCAAAGGTGAAACACATCATTTCTTAGAATGGACATATTATCTAATCAACTGAAGTCATTAAAGCCACCTCTGCTACAGCTGAAGTGACAGTTTTGGCTAATGCCCTGTGATGGACTGAGGGTGTGCCCTGCACCCTCTCACTCAGTATGCATTGGGAAGCACTCCTTTCCTTTCAGCTGAGCAAGCCTGGGGCTGAGGAGGGCAGGCAGTGGAAGCACAGGGATGCATATCAATCAGCGGGTTTGCGAGTGCTCGGATACACTGCCCCTTTATCCAGCTACTGTGCAGTCCTTGCCTGGGCCAGAGAATAGAACTCATATGACCTAGACTAGAAGGTGTCACTAGCATCAGAGGACCTGATGTCTGTGAGGTGCTTGACCATTTACCGAGTCTCCAGTGTATTTGTTTTTACGTTGCCAGGAGCTACATTTAGATGGCTGATTTTGGTCCCTGTGTTTGGACCTTCCAGACATACCCTTCCAACAGACTAATCAGCAAGGTCATGTAGAACTGCTCTTCTGGGTCCGTGATGAGACGGGCCTAGGAAGTCCAGACATTCTCTGACTTCTGATGACTGCCACCACCTGAAGTAAAAGCTTGGGCTTCCATTGGTCCATTTCTCTGTACGTGTTTCCTCCCTCTCTACTCCTTCCTCCTTGGTTGTTTAAACTGGAGTTTTTATGTAACTAGTTAAGATTTTGGAGACTACTCCGTGTATTGATAGATCTGTTAATATTTTTGTTTTTTGTACTTGTTGGTTCTCTTGTTCATTTCATTTTGCCCTAGGGGGGCCGGGGAGATGGCTCAGTGGAATAAGCACTTCCCTGGCAAGTGCAAGGGCCCGAGTTCAATCCCTGGTTCCGAAAAAAAAAAAAAAAAAAATCCTTTCCTTCATTTTGCCCTAGCTAAACACTTACTGCATATTGTATTTAAAGTCTTAATTCTGCTTTTGCATCAGTTTATGTCTCCAGCCCATGGTTCTCGGTCATGGAGGAGGCAAGGTCTTTTGCATCCTTGGTGACTAGATCTCACCATAGGAGACTAGGATAGATTATATCTTCAGCAGTCTCCTGATGTCCTTTGATCTTCCCTTTGTAGGTCACAAACCAATAAATTTCCCATGAGAAAAACTGTGAACCACTCTGTTACTAACAGGGATTTTCTTTTAGCTCATCTACTATACCTAATACTTTTTATGGCCCAGTAGTTCTTAGCAGTGTATTTTCCTCAACATGCCTGGTCCTTATTTACATGCCTAGGTCCCTTCCTGTGTCTGCCTGTCCATGTGTATCTGCTAACCAGCTTCTCCTTAATCATCCCATGAGCAAGTCAACTTCAAGTTCACGCAGTTACTTCTATGCATAGAAACTTACTTAAAAAAATGCATGTTCGTAACAGAGCCTTGCATAATCTCTTGCTCGTTTCCCACACTGGTCCCTGTCCCACTCACCTGCCACTGAGGAGACAACAGCAATGCTTCCTTTGCTCTGCTTCAGCATGGGCAAGGCGGTTATACTCAGGACCACAAAACTGTAGAAGTTGATCTCCATGCTTCTGCGTACAATGTTGATGTCATCATGAAAAAACCCCAGAGGGACATACAAGACGTGGTTGAGGATGAGCATGTCTAGTCCTCCTGTAGGAGATGGCTGCGTTGAGAGAAACTATCTGGGGTTTTCTACTTCCCCATCCTTCCTCTCCCCAAAGCTCTGTGGTGACCTGCAGGGTAAATTTCAGAGCAAGACAGAGGAGAAAGAGCCTCACCCATAAGCTTTCCTGCTTCCACCACAAATTCTTCTGCAAAGGTCATGTCTTCCATGTTGCCGGCAATGTGGTGTGCTGAGGCTGCTCCAAGGTCTAAGCAGCGAGTTACCACCTATGGAGTTACAACACAGTGGTGTCAGTCTTGCTGTGAACTTTTAGGTGCAGACTTTGAAGTAATTAAGGATTTATGAGAGGTTGCTTAAGGCTGTGTTTAGATGAGAAATGATGTATGTGCGTGTGTTCACTGATCTCTCATAATCATTGTCCTGTGAAACATTCTGAAATATGGTAGAGCTTAAATGGATAAGTCATCCCTGTGCTAGGGTTTAAATCTATGTTTTAGGCTCATAGTGTTTGGGAATAGGTGTTTCTGAATGCACTGTGGCTATGGACACTGGCTTCCACATGGGCAGCTCTAGGTTTGTGAATGTTAATGCTCACTAGACTGATGAATCCAGGAGGGGACATGTTCTTGAAAGTCTGCATGGGCATGAGGATATGCATTCACTAGTAGGGCCTTGACTTTAAGTATCAATACCTGGCTAAATGCTCATAGTTCTATGGGTCAGTATGTATGAATACATATGAATGTGGCCATATACAACTCAAGAACTTTGTGGCTGTGTGGGTGTGTACCTGTGTGCATAGGAATGTATATTTAAATGCATATTTCTATATTCCTATGGATGTCTGGGTATTTGAACCTGCATATGAGAAAGCGAGATTTAAAGAGAGAGGGAGGGAGGGAGGGAGGGAGAGAGAGAGAGAGAGAGAGAGAGAGAGAGAGAGAGATGTGCTAGCCTTTATGTCTATATGTGAGTATATCTAAGAGCACACAGGTGTGTGCGGGGATGTGGCTCTGTGGGCAAAGAGCCCTCACCTTCTGTAGGGCTTCTTCTGACCTTGCTGTTAGCACCACATGGGCTCCCATCTTCGCCAGATGATAAGCCATTTCTCTTCCAATCCCTTTGCTGGCCCCTGTGACAATCACTTTCTTTCCTTGGAGCATCTCTGGGGAACCCCAAAAAGAAGTGAGGGCCACACTCAACTCGGCAGCACTATTCTTTCTCTCTCCCATGATATGAGGAGTCTCATTTCAGTTCCCAATTTTAAAGGTCATGAACTCAGATCAGTTTGTCTCAACTGTGAATGTCACTCAAGGAACCACTCAAGTCATTCATAAATATGCTCTACAAGGTTTGGCTTGTTTGCTGAAAACCAAGGCTGGATGTTGTCATTTCAAAATCCTCCCTTTGAAAGAGTGTAAGAACAGGGCCAGAAAGGATATGGTTCAGTTAAAATGCTGGTGCTCCAAACATTTCAGGACTCATCAAATTTTGATCAGTTGAAAGAAAAATTAAAAAGTAATCAAAAGACATGTGTTCATAGAGATTCTGGGGGTGTTCCCTCACATCTCCTTAGTCATCAACTCCAGGATACTGTTTTGTCTCCCAATTATCAATCTTTCTATTGCGACCCATTTTCTGGCTGCCTTGGGAATTTGGGGAAATACCTTTATTTCTGTAGAAGATTTGAATTACTTTTCATAAGAATGCCAAGGAAAGCATGGCCTATTTGGCAAGCTGTTGGTTGCAGGATCCCCTCCCTCCCCATATCCCTCCAGCCCACAGCCTGTGGTTGGAGAACACGGGGATGTCGTTCCACTTTCAGGTTCCATCTTTTTCAGCAACTTTAGGAATCAGGAACACATCTTGATTCTTAGGAAGACTCTAGATCCCCTGTGTTTTCTAACCTATTTTACCAAAATGAGACACATTGGTACTTACCTGGTCTGAACTCGTCATGTGAAGAATAGTAGTAGTAGGCCAAGAAGACCATCAGAATGGGGAGGAGGAATTTTTTCAGAAAAGCCATCAGAAAGGGACCTGGCCCGAGGAGCCCTGTAGGACACACAGAGAGAACCTACAGAGCTTTCTACAACCTCTTAGGCGGGCAGCAGCCTCAGAATTGTGACATCAGGGACGGGGAGGCTGGAGTAGTCTCAGGCAGCGCTAGCCAATTTCCCTGTCAGAGCAGCGATTGGCTTTGGGTGGGATCCCATTTGTCCCTGGCAGCCTGCGTGGTGGATTTCATAATGGACAATGTTTACTCCATCTCATTGAGCAAGAGGAGACTTCCAGATGGCCAAGCTCATGACTGTACAGGACTCCTGAGCATCCCTAGCCCATCTTCCTCTTAACACCATCTATGCCAGGGATCCATGGTCTTTCAGTGGTGGTTTGTCAAATGTAAAGAGGAGAGAGACAGTGTATGTGGCTTCTGGGAAACATGAATAATAGCAACAAGAGCCAAACTCATTCTCGCCCTCAGCCCTACCCCCTCAGTCGGAAGCAATTAAAAATAACAGTACAAGGCAATAAAATAAGCTTGAGAAAAAATGTGCACATTTGGAGGGAATAATAAATAAATAAAAGCAAACAAACTGTATAAGCCCCACATTGAAGCTCAATGAAACAATATTACAACATCAAAGAGAAGCTGCAATCCAGGCAGAACCCAGATGGCGGGAAACCCAAGACCAATTCAAGACACCAGGCAAGTGCAACAGAATTTACACTTATTACTTTAACAGTGAATAAAGACAACCTAAGGGTGCCAAAACAAAAAAGGCAGTAAGCTGTTAAACCAGGTCATGTAAATGCTATAACAGAATGGGAAACATAGACCAGATGTACGGAAGAGGAGACCCGACACCGGAGGAAAATAACCCAGTACTCTTTAAGCCAAATTAGCATGCATTGACCACATCCAAACTGAAGACAGACTGAGTACCAATCTAAGGACCAGGAGGAAATCCATAGTGATTAAGAATTTATTATCAGGGAACTATAGGAATAACCACTACTTGTGTCTGTAGCAAGACTTCCTTAAGGAATAATCCTAAGAGAAAGAAATTAGGATGTGTCATCATTAAATTTTACAACTTATAACCAACCAGCCAAATCATGAACTTTATCCCATCACAAATCTTGAATTTTCCAAGTATTTAGTACATGGAGGTAAAATTTACACATGGAAAGAAGACTGATCGTCAGTTATTGGGAGGTAAGATGAGGACTGGGCTGTGTAGTACTGCAATTTATATAAACTTAAGATAAATTGAGTTAAGACCCTAAATATAGTCTCTGGAAGCATTCAGTGACTTTTCACTTCAGAGTAAGAGAAAATAATTTAAGGCCCAGAGGAGATGAAACAATTTGTTAACAAAAGTCCACAGCTGTGAAGTGCAATTCCAGAAAACAAGGACAATTTGAGAACAGTGGAAAGCTAGATAGAGCTCAAGATTCATGGAGGACGAAAATAGAATAAGGATAAAATTCACATGAAAATTAGATTACATAATTTACTGTTTACATTAATTACATACTGTTTGTACTGCAGGAAAAATTTGCATGCTTTTTAATAAAGGAATTTGTACAAACAGGACATGTTACACACCAGGCTCCATCTTTTATTCACTCAAGGATTATTTTCTAAACTGTATGTTATTAATAATTAAATTTCAGGAAAACAATGAAAGAGTGGCTTCTGAGTATATTGCAGAGATGAGAGAAAGGTGGACAGAATAGGGAAGTCTGTTATTTGATCTCCCAAAGAAGAAAGAACTGTAAAGGCCACAAGAACACATAAGTTTAAAGAAAGCAAAGCTGATAATGAGTAAGGTAAAGTGCAGTATTCGAGAACACAAAGCAAAATGATTGCTGATTGTTGGATGACTTAAATGAAGTCCAACACAGTGTAACCTCAAAGGACATTGTGTTGTTAAATTTGACAGCACAAACAAATGAATTCAATAGCAGCTGTCATGCAATGAAAGCAGGAAAAGCATTCAGTAAAATAACTTACATGGAATTATATAAGAAATTGTATAAAATGCATTGATGACAAATACATACACTATATATTTATAAACACTTTATAAATAAATATATGCACTGTAATTTTGGTGATAAATGAAGTCAGAGCTTCTCAAATATTTTGGTCTCAAGATTCCTTTATAACTTTTTTTTCTTCTGTATTTAGGACAGGGTCTACAGGATCTCACTATGTAGGTTGGACTTGTAGTGATTCTATTTTCAGCCTCCCAAGCACTGGGATTACAGGCGCGCACCACCACACCCATTCTCAATTGCCTTCTCAGCACATCCCCGGGACAGGGCCAGCACAGCACACTGGGATCGAACCCTGGCTGCTGCACTCTGCCTAAGAAGGCACTTTAGTCCGTTGAGCTATCAGGCCAGCCCTAGGATCCCTTCATGCCTTTAAAAATGATCATGGACCTCAGAGGACTTGCATCCAACTTTTTCCTGTGGATATTGGTATTGATATATTAGAAATTAAGACTGAAGATTTTTTAAAACCCAAGAATACATAGTACACCTTCCACTAACAGTCAGGGCAATGACATTATACACATCCTATAGCTTCTGGAAAAGTCAAATAATGTTTTAGTATGATTGACAATAGTTCTAGCCTTTTAAACTCCTAAGAGGACCTAGGGGACCCTTAGCGGGGAACAACATTTTGACTGTTACATAATAAACACCAAACGCACTGCGTGTCTGCTTTTGTGTGTTGGTTCTCGCATTGGCTTGTCTGCTCCTGGAAGACATGGCTTATGTCTGTTTCATCTTTGCCTCTCCTCATTCCCCCTAGTCTTGTTCCAAAATAGGCGTTCAACAAGCTTTTGCTGTTTTGGTTCAGTTTCTGAGAGGCTGCAGCAGTAACAAAACTGCCGTCTTTCTGGAGCCAGGTTTAATCCAGGGAAATCACTGCAATTCAGTATCCTGATCAGAACAAATGGAGCCCACTCCCAAGTCCTTGCTCTGGGATTCTCATCAAATTAAAACAAAACAAAACAAAAAACAGGGAAATCTGACTGCTTCACCTAGCACCTGTTTGTGTACATTTCCCCACGTCCAGCCAAGTTTCTTTTTCTGCCCTAAGAGGAAGCTGACCGCTGGCCCCACTTCCGGTGACCCCCACCTCCCGCCACCACACACTGACCACCAGCAATCTAGAACAGCTTCCAGAGGGCATCTCCAACATAGCCCTGCGATTTGTCAATAGCAGCACGAAGCGGGCTCCTCCTGCGGGGCTCAGCCGAGACGCTCGTTTGATGCGTTGGTCAGGGCCACCTGGGCACGTGGACGCACCAACAAACAGGAGAAGAGTGCAGTGGTTAGAGAGAGGGGCCTGTGAGGCGGGGGTCAGGTCTGGAGGATGGAGAGGAGATAGCGAAGTGGGAGGAGCAGCCAGGGAATCTCCCTGCATCGGGCAGGAAGGATTGCTTGTCATCTCCAAGGCAGCAGCTGTCGCACTTTTCATGAATTTTTAGTGGCGTTGTTAAGAAAATGCCTCCTTGTTCTTAGAAACTAGTCCTGCTGGGGGCACAGTGGGTAAATTCAGAGTAAAAGGTGGGTCTTCAGAAGTTTTGAAGTTCTGTTATAACCTGACCAAAGTGCCGCCATCCTGTTCTGTAGGCGCCATCTTAGTAAACCATGTCAGCTACTGTAAAATGTGACTTTTTGTTTCTTAAGCCCACTCCCTTCAGGGCGTGTTATACCCTGACGTTAGTAACTCCATCTTGGCTCTCTGATTCGCCTTTGCCCTAGTTGATTACAATGACTCCATCTTGGTTCTCTGCTTCACCCTTGCTCTGGTTCCGAGAATGTCTTAAGGCAAAACAGGTGTTCCTGGCAACCGGTCAGCCACATTGTCCTTATAAGGTCAACATGACCGCATACCTAGATTACACACCCTGTTCTGTACTCCACCCAGTCCAAAGGGGCAACTTCTCTGTGTCCAGCTTCCTCCAGGTGGGCTACAACCAATCCTGTAAAAGGTCATGTGCCCCCTTGACCACATTAACATCTGCTATTGGCTTCTGTGATCGGCTTGCTTGGATGGGCGGTTTTGCGGTTTTTGGGTTTAAATTACTATGCCTCCCCTTAGCCGGGGCTCCTCTCTGTCTCTCGGACTCTGAGGGTGCTGCTGGGTACCAGCTAAAATAAAGCGCTACCATCTTTTTGGACGTTTTGCCTCATTGTCTCCTTCTTGGGTTGCAACACCTTCCCTTGGGAGAAGGGCACCAATGTGTTCAAACTGGAGAGGGCCTGGCTTTGTACCAGAGTACGGAATTGTCTTTCTCTCTCCTCTCACCCCAGTTTTCCTCAGGTTTGATTTTAGGAACTCACGAATCTACCACAGCTGCCAAAGTCTGTTCCCTGTGACAGGAAGAACATTACCATTTTATATAACTTTACCCAATAGCAGACTTTTCCTCCCTTTCTTTGTTCAGTACTGGAGGATCCATCCTCGAACCTCCTGCACATTGAATGAAGGCTGTGCCACTGAGCTTCCCTCCCTTGTATATTTCATGAGGGAAGAAGTTCTACTTGTCAATACTTCTGCATAACCTCACACTCCCTTGGACAGATTCCCTCATATTTTCCACTTAATGGCATCTCAGATCTGAGAATGTGAAGCAACTGCTCCACCTGGCATGCCCAATTCCTGCAGCAGGAGCCCCGCCTGGTACAGCACATATCTGGAATCAATTTGCTTGTGAGATCTGGGCTGCCAGGGAAACAAGGGACCCTCCTGTGTGAACAAGATTGGCTTGTTCCTTGTCTCCCAGAGTGGTGCAGCCCTCACTGCGGTGGCACCCCCATGTAGCAGGACCATGGTGATGGTAAATCAGCTGCAGCTGGAGTTGTCCAGGATTTTCTTTTGGTTGGTGTCTTAGTTACTCTTCTTTCATTGCTGGGACAAATACCGGACACTCAAAATGAAGGAAGAAAAGGTTTATTTAGCTCACAGTTACTGGAGGTTTCAGTCTATACTCAGCTGGCTCCAAGGCAGAGTGGCACATGGCAGAAGTCAACCTTTCATGGCAGTGGCAAACAGTAAGAGCACAAAAAGGAGGGGTAGCAGCAGCTCAAGCAGCTGGCTTTTC